TTAGCTAATGGGGCCTCCTGCTGCCGCCACACCGCCGGAGCACGATTTCTGTTCTCATCCTGAAGCAAAGTTCTTAACCTGAAGCACTATTTCTGGGTTAGCGGAGTCTGTAACCTGAAGCGTATGTCACCTGATGTACCACTGTACTTGGTAGTGGCACCCAAGCATGCACACCCCATCAGATATAAAGAGTGCTTATGTATGAAATGGACACTTTCTCTTTAAAATAGGTTTAAGCAGAGGCTCCTTTCCCAGTCATCAAGAACATGTATTTTGGAATGTGCACATATTGTTGTTTGTTTATTGTGACCATTTATAGTCTGCTGTTTATTCAAAGGTCCCGGTGTGGAACATACATAAATATTTAAAACCAGAAATTAACAGTATAAAGCAAAGTTCTTAACCTGAAGCACTATATCTGGGTTAGCGGAGTCTGTAACCTGAAGCGTATGTAACCTTAAGCATATGTAACCCGAGGTACCACTGTACATTCTTTCTGCGGCACCCCTGTGGAGCTCAGGAGCCCAGTTATGTCACCTCTTGCCTGCAGAGCTGGCAGCCTCCCACCCTTTTTTGAACACCCTCCATTGTGGAGCATTCTCTCCTCTCTCCTCTCCTTCAGAGTCCTCTGGGCAGCCGCAGCTGCTGCCCTTGGTCTCTGAACTGCCCCCCCTGGCCCCAAAGAGAAGTGCCTTCTTACTCTGCCCCACAGGGGCCTAGGAAACCAGCCCCAGAAGTACCCGTTGCCTTGGGAAGCTTGTAGCCAGGGCCACTGCAACAAACAGCTGTGCAAGCCTTTGGGAGGCAGAGATGCAAGAGGGCATCAGAGAGAGGGAAAGAAAGAGGGGCAGAGGCCAGTGTTGCCCACGGCACACTGGTTGAAAACCAATGAGCTAGAGGAAATGAAAAACTGCCATTCTGCCAGATTGTAATTCTTTTAACAACAAGAAGACATACACACCTTTTTTTTAAAGCAAGTAAAAATTCTTTGCAGAACTTGGTATCCACACATTAATGTTTTGTGCCCATTCCCTATTATTTTGCACTTTCAAGGGAAGTAAAATCTCCATGAACCTCATCGCATGGATAGTGCACACCCCGGAAATGATCTCTTCCAGCTTCTGCCTTTTGAACGAAGGTACAGGGTTATAAAGTCTAGGACTAGCCGCCTGAGAAACAGTTTCTATTCAAATGCGATTTTGGTTTTAAATGCAGTGTAAGGTAGTCTCTATGGGAGTATATTGTATTTAATTATGGGGTATCAGAGTTTTTAGGGGGTTAACCAGGCTGGGATAGCAGGCTTGTTGGTTTTTGAATGTCTGATGTATATTTTTTTCAATTAAGTTGTTCTGTATGGGACAATGACAATAAAATTATTGTATCGTATTATCATATTGTAACGCATTAGGAGTTTGTAGCTTCTCTTTTGTTGTCTTGTAAAAGTATGCATCATACACCCGTCTTCTTGTTTTCCCCTTGTGACCAAGGAATATGCTTACTTTTGTTAATTAACATTAATTAATTAATTAATTTTTTGTGCCTCCCTATACCTGTAGATCTCAGGGCGGCTCACAGCATAAAATTACAATATTAAAAAACCCAAGATAAATGCTAAAAATAAGAACAAAGACAATATAACAACCCCCACCAAACAACACATTTAAAAGGACTGAACTGGAAAGAGATGTGAGAAACCTCTCTGCAACCAACAAATCTTAGTAGGGATGTGGCATGGGGACGTTTCAGAGGTTCTTCATTCTAGGACAGATGGGCGTTGAGCACAGCCTTCCTATTCCCTGAAAAAGATGAGCATGCTTTTTTTTAAAAAAAAAAAAAAAAAGGGCGGCATGCCTGGTTTGTTCTGGTTACCTCCGCCATGTACTGCGAACAATGCTCAGCACCCAAGTTATGTTGAGATACCATGCTATGCCAAAACTAAAGTGCCAATCAATAGTCTCCTATAACTTTATTTAACACCACACTTCCGTGCTTGAAACTTAATTCATGAACACTCCAGACTTGTTTGGGGGTATCCACCGCCGGCTGAAGATTTGCTACACATGTTCTGCACTTTGTCCAATAAAACTAAACAAGTTAGAAAGCCAGTTTGGAAAAGTTACCAAAAAGGTATGCTTTGTCCTGGAGTTCAAAGATAGCGGCTCTCAGCTATTCTTTTCCTGATTGTGTTGGAAGCCTACTGAAATATACTCGGAGTTGAGAGTGGATTTCATGCTCTTTATTCAGCTCATAGTGGTGAGGAGGAATGAAAGTTCCCCCAAAATATCTGCTTTATATACATTATTTACACAATGGGCTGGATGTGATTGGCTAATTCCGAGATTCTCCTGCAAGCCAATCAGGTTGTGGATTCACTTCCATCTGGAGCTGGATTGGGTGGCTCCTGCGGACCAATCATACTGCTGCATTGTTCTAGGACCAATCAGACTGCTGCATTCTGAATCCTATTGTTCTAGGACCAATCAGACGGCTGCATTTTGGATCCTATTCAACTCAGTACATAACACCTATGCAGAAGCAGATGATCGCAGTGGCGGTTGGTCCTCAATTGGGACTGATAGGGCAGAAGGCAGGAAGACCAACAGTAGGGGGAGCCAAAGCCAACAACAGGAAGAGACACCCTGTGACAGGATGTAAGTAAGAAGGCAGGCAGGTGTAGGCTGGTTGAGGTTGGTAAGGCAGTGCCCCATTTATCTCAAGTGGCCAGCCTCAATGGCTACTTGTGCATGGGCTTCTTCATTTCAGACAACCACACTAAAATATGGATGTCCCCAGCAGAGACAGGCAGCATGGGGACCAGGAGTGCACCCCAACTCCCCTATAATCACGTGGTGCCCCCCTTCATGCAGACAATATAGGAAGGTGGTTAATAAAGTGACCAAATCCAACCGCAGACAGATTGGGCTTCAGCCAAGGATAGATCCCACATCCTGGTTGCCCTGGCAACCCTAACAGCAGAAGTATATGCTTGAGCCCAACCGCTGGAAAGGAATGCCTCGAAACATAAACAAAATGTCTGCCCACTTCCTGTTATCCCTTGAAGCTGTTTATACAGTCTTCTTCCACATAATCTGATTTACTTAATCTGATCAACGGCACAGACAGTGTGAAAAAGTGGGAAATGTTCCCAGACAACTTGGCCGGTTAATAAGAAAGCAGAAAGTCCGGCTAAAACCAGTATTTGTATGTGCTTGAAATGGGGGGGGGGGCAAGTACGCCAAATGGAACAGAAGAGGAAAAGTGCAACTCTTGCTAAATCTCTCAATATTCATAAATAAGGACTTGCATTGGGGTGGGTGGGTTCTTGCACTGATTTTGATTCAAAATTATATGCGTGTGTATTTTTACTTTATAAACATTCAGAAATGTGTTTGAGAATCTCAGCTTTCACTTTAATATGAGATCTTTGTGCTCAAAATCTCCCTCTCTGTCTCTTTTAAGTAACAGATGCTGGGGGCAAACAAGAGTGAACTTATAAGCTTCCCAGAAGCATTTGGATGGCTAGCATTTAGAAACAAAACACTGGATGATACAGATCTTTGGTTAATCCATCATACCCCTCCTCTTCTGCCTCTTTTGATTGTTAAAAAAGGTTCCAGTCCTTAGGATTGCAAGTGATCTTGGTTTTCTAAAGGAATTTGCAAGGGGCCATAATAATATGAAACTATATTATCTGGAACCTGCAGGAGAGAAGAATGCTTTTTGCACAGACTCAGGTCTGCTTGCAGGTTTCCCACAGGCAACGGGTTTGTCACTGAGAAAACAGGATGCTGGACTAGATGTGCCACTGGCCTGATCCAGCACACTCCTATGTCCTTGCATAATCGACTTTCCTTATCTGGTCTGCAATTATCTATACCATGCATACATGGCCAATTTTTTATACGTCTCAGCTCAACCACACACAGCTTAAGAATGTGCCATCATGTTCTCTTTTATACAAATGAACTTTCTGGCACAATTGAAAATGAAATATTACTATTGATATCCATGGGGCAGTGGACTAAAAGGTAAAGGGACCCCTGACCATTAGGTCCAGTCGTAGCCGACTCTGGGGTTGCGGCGCTCATCTCGCTTTATTGGCCGAGGGAGCCGGCGTACAGCTTCCGGGTCATGTGGCCAGCATGACTAAGCCGCGTCTGGCAAACCAGAGCAGCGCACGGCAACGCCGGTTACCTTCCCGCCGGAGCGGTACCTACTTATCTACTGCACTTTGACATGCTTTTGAACTGCTAGGTTGGCAGGAGCAGGGGCCGAGCAACGGGAGCTCACCCTGTCACGGGGATTCGAACCGCCGACCTTCTGATCAGCAAGTCCTAGGCTCTGTGGTTTAACCCACAGAGCAGTGCCAATTAAAATGTTACTGAAAGCCAGGTTGTGAACTTGGCTTGTTGTGTGAATCCAAGGCAGAACCAACTCACTACAGATCTACTCAACCCACATACTCAGAACACCAGCTTGGTCATGTGAATTAATCCTAAGTACCAGAAACAGTGAAAAAGGGCAAGCAATCAGGAAGTGAATCATCTGCAACAGGAGTTGGGAAACAGTGGTACCTCCAGAGGTTGTTGGACTACAACTCCCATCATCCCTGACCCTTGGTCATACCAACAACAGCTGGAGGGCCACAGGTTTCCAACCTTGATCTCTATTTCTATACAGATCTTGATCTATATTTTTCAGTCAGTGGTGTTAAACAAAGAAGAAGAAGAGTTGGGACTTGATATCCTGCCTTTCACTCCCCTTAAGGAGTCTCAAAGCGGCTAACAATCTCCTTTCCCTTCCTCCCCCACAACAAACATTCTGTGAGGTGAGTAAGGCTGAGAGACCACAAAGAAGTATGACTAGTCTAAGGTCACCCAGCAGCTGCATGTGGAGGAGCGGAGACGTGAACCCGGTTCACCGATACGAGTGAAGAGCACGAGTCTACTGCTCTTAACCACTACACCACACTGAGGATGATAAAAACACTTTAAATTTACCTGTCTACTCCCCTGCTTAGAGGAGCAGCTGCTGGTACTTCTTGAAGGCGACAAGACTTTCTGAGACACACCAAGATTCTTTTCTTCAGTCATGGTCTCCGAAAGAGTTTCTTCTGTACCAATTCAACGACAAAACGAGAAGACATGGGAGGGAAAGGCAAGAGTCATCGCATCTCCAAATGCATTCCAGTGGTGCTCAAAGGAAATTCCTAAAAGACAGAGCAGGAGGGTGAGGGGAGGAAAAGGAGACAACAGCACACCATCAATTTTAGTCAAGAGCAATTCTAACAACAATAAAGAGTTCAAATTTTCAGCAATGCCACGTGACACCATTGCTATAAAATTAGCAAACCAATAAGCTATGAAGGGTACCATTCAAGACTTGATGAGTAGTGTTGAAATAGGTCTCAAAAGAATGGGAAGGCAGATGGACACGAAGTATTATTTAGCGTAATGTTCTGCTTTTTTCGGAGGCATTCAAAAGGAAACTGAATAGGAACCAGGTAATATTAGGGATACATACGGCCTTTGATTACTGTGAAACAACCTGCTAACCCCACTTCTCGGACAGTTTATAGAAGTGGTCGGAAAATAAAGACTGGCAGGGTTTTCTTTCTTTTTCAATTTAAGGTTTATTACCTGCTGAAGTTTTAATTCTTGTACATTTCTTTATCATGAAATATCATTTTATCTTTTATTCACGAGTATTATTGAGAGAGCTTGCTCTGAAAGGGGGGGGAGGAGAATTTAAATAATTAACAATAGAAGAATAATTTACATAGTGCTGGAGTGTATTTCATAACACTTCATATTGAGGCTTATCCATACTTTCCTCCACTCTTTCCAGGCATGGTCTGCCATTTAAAACTCCATGGCTGAGCCACACAACCCCCCCCCAAACTTTCCCCGCTTTAAAGAACATTTTTTTGTGGGGAAAGCTCTGGAGCAAAAGAAAGGGCACTCAGACATAAAGCTTTAAAGGACAGACCATGTCTCAATAGTGCCGAGGAAAAGTTAAGCGTGGATAAGCCCTTGTTAATTGCAGCAAGCCCCACTGTGTTTATTTATGTCCAAAGCTAAGATCTGAACCAGGGTCTTCGAACCCACATGCTTAAGCCAGTACGCTATGTCAGCCCTCAACTATGTTTTAGGCATGGGGCAGAGGTGGAATGATTTGTGGGAATGCTTCCCAGCTCTTGGATCTGCATAGATTCCATGTACAGTGTTCAGGTGAGAGATTTTGACCTTCTGATGCAGGCATCCCCAAACTCAGCCCTTCAGATGTTTTGGGACTACAACTCCCATCATCCCTGACCAATGGTCCTGTTAGCTAGGGATGATGGGAGTTGTAGTCCCAAAACACCTGGAGGGCCGAGTCTGGGAATGCCTGTTCTGATGTATCCATACAGATACACAGAGCTCACAGACCATACTAACCATACCTCTCCCAGAAGACAATGCTTCTAGGACCACCTTATCTTTATAGGTGATCAGGCGAGTCATTTTCACCTTTTAAACACATCCAAGTTGTTGTTTAAAAATGTTGTGTTTTTGCCCAATTACTGAAGCAGCACTTTAAAGTGTGGGCATTTAAAAAACGTGTCAGCTGTGCATAGATAAACAACAGAAAATACCCACAGGGAATGATTAGAGAGCAATAACTGACCTCCGTAGAGAAGGAGGCAAAGGTATTAACAATGTCAATATGATTGGTGGAAAACCCATTTAAGGAAATTGCCGAAGAACACAACACCTTTAACTGCTGCACAATAGCAATCCCAGTGCATGATGAGGTCAGGTATTTAAGTAGGCATCTGTTGTCAAGTCTGGCAGAAAGCAATATTTAATAGCAGCACCAAGGTGGCAGTCTGCATCGAGAACCTTGCTGGTAGTCCCAGTGACAATGCAGAAAACGTGAGCCAGAGTAACCATGGCAACAGATTCTTCCCACTTCACAAAGGCTAGACTAAAGGGCAACACCTTTCACAAACTCGAGGGTAAGAAAGTCTTACCGTACAATTACACTAAATATTGTATTATTCAACCGTGGTCAAAATCCGTAATGTAATATGTAACATGTAATACGTGGGGGAGGGTTCAGAATACTGATCAATATTTAACTTTCATCTTGTCCTCTTGGACTCTAGTAGTGCTGACAATATATAAGCTGACAATATATAAACAATCTAAGCAAAGCATTTCTTATGTCTTGCCAACAACTCTTTTCAGGATATGAAATCCAATCATTTTAATACCATGCATCAATGTCTAGTTTATAGATTATAGAGTTTGCTTTTTAAAAAATGCCCGGATACCACTGCTGGAGTTTTTCCTGTTCTTTGTGTCTGCACAACGGCCACAGAATATGCTCTTGCTAAAATCAGTTTTATGGTCTTATGCCTCATGCAGTATGTTCTACTAACTTGCTCCCCAGACAACCCCAGTTCACCTTGGGTTTTTTTGTCTGCAGCAAGCAAGTGTTGCATTACATGCCTGGCTACTTGGTGCTGAATTAAGAACCATGGCTACGTTTATTCACCCAAGCTGCCAGAGTGACAACATATGGCAAGGTCTGCTTCAGTGAATCCGGTGCCAGATCTGTCATCATTCCCTCCGACAGTGAACTCAGGTGGTTGAGTGCCAACAGCACTGGCGTCGAAATGTGGATTACTGAGAAACAAGGAAGAGAAAGCAGCATGTTCCGCTGAACCCCGAGGTATGAGGAAGTACAAAACATCTGAACACCTTCAGAAACAGTCCAGTGAAGATTGAGTATTGCTCATGCATTCCAGGGACCATGGAATGTTGGCAATTGGAAAAGAAAACCAGCTAAATAGAGATGAATGAATCAGCCTGCTTTAGCCTGACCACACCTTATAGGAGTCCAGTCATTGGGAAAGGGGAAAAAATGCAACTACAAGATTTTGTTGAAGGCCCCATTTGTCTTCTTCCTATTCAGTGGGATATGGAAAGGAGAAGGCATCTCATTGTAAGTGCTGGGATCCAAACACTACATATCACGCTCGTTCTTCTATTTAAAAAACCAACAACATCTCAAGTGCCTTTGTGAATGGCTGCCAATAGCTTGTATGCAGCAACCAACATTTAAAAAGCACCACTGGGATATTTTAAAACTCGGCTATACAGTGGTACCTCAGGTTAAGTACTTAATTCATTCCGGAGGTCCGTACTTAACCTGAAACTGTTCTTAACCTGAAGCACCACTTTAGCTAATGGGGCCTCCCGCTGCCGCCGCGCCGCCTGAGCACAATTTCTGTTCTCAACCTGAAGCAAAGTTCTTAACCTGAAGCAGTATTTCTGGGTTAGCAGAGTATGTAACCTGAAGTGTATGTAACCTGAGGTACCACTGTAAAGTTGCCTAATGTGGTTGCAATACGGTGGTACCTTGGTTATCAAACTTAATCCGGAACACTTACTTCCGAGTTTGCAGCGTTCGGGAGCCAATTTGTTTGGGAACCAAGCTGTTCAACAACCAAGGTACCACTGTACTCAACAGCTCAAAAACTACAGACACCTGCAGTTATGCACTGATACATCTGTATGGCCAGCTATGGTTCTCTTGAATTGATAATTTTTGCCCAAGTTCCTGACACCACGAGTCCACGTGTGCGAAGGAATCGTGTGCCACGCTGGCTAACTGTTGCTAGCGAGTGGGGGAAACCCCAGACAGGACTCTCGGGCATGGGCATAGCCCTACGTGCAGATCCTGAGCTCAGTCTCGGTTAGCAGAATAAGGTTCTTCCATTATGATTCAAGGTTTACTTTTAAAGCACCAATTCCTCTCTTTTTAGAGGTTCTAAAAAGGAACTCTCTGTTTGTTCCCAAGAGATCTTTTGGAAGAGCCAATCCTCTAATTACCTATTTCAACTGTCAAGGCCTGGTGAAACCCAGTTCACTTTCTGTTACCATGAAACAGTACCTCCTGCATCAACAAAATCCAGCAGTATCTTCAGCTGCAAGATTTTAGTCTTGGGGCAGAGGTACAATCATGCTCTGTTGTCTGAATTTATTATTGCTGAGGCGTTTCATATGGGAAACTGCACAAACGCCTCTTAGAGGTTAATGAGCTCTGCCTTTCTATTTTCAACACTCTTTCTAATTGTTCTGGAAAGAAGAAAGGGGGAAGGGGGGGAACCATGCAGCAGAGAACTTTATAGAATAAAGCATCTCCCAGGATAAAGAAGGAAGACATATGCCTGCGCAGGTGTTTCAGACAGTTTTGGAAATCATTATGCAACAGCTAAGCAGCAGCAAGACCACAGAATTCGCTCCAGAGAACTGTTTCAGCAATTTGCAAATTTCTGCTCCACACACTTTCAGTTTTCACCTGCATGTGACCACAAGTTCTTTACGGAAGCGGCTCAAGTAATGTGGCTTCATACTTCAAGTTTATTGAACGGCTGCATTGGTGGGTTTTTTTTTAGGAGAGGAGTCCTAATAAAAATGTCCCTAATTGAAGCAGCACGCAAGTTGAGAAAACAGCAAAAATATCTGAACAGCTACCACCCCCTCCCTGGTCGATACACTCAAGTTCCAAATATATCTAAAAATTTCAATAATTTCAACAAGACACTAGAACTATTTTGGTATGCCTTTGCATTCATGGGTACAATGCTTCACTGTTACAATCTGTTGTACTATTATTACATAGCAATGCGTGACTTCGCTCTCAGATCCTCTGAAAGAAATATTGGAGGGGAAAGCTGGCGGTGGAGTTGCCATGGAGCAATTATAATTTTTTGTTGTTGCTTAGCACTTTCTACAGCTCTTTAGAAATTATGGCTCATCTCTAACCCAGTAGTTATCCACTGTATTTTTAGAATATACAAAACTGTATCTATAAATACAACCTGCTTGATCATTCATGCAATTCTTCCTTAAATAACATAAAGAAAACACACTCATTTTCAGGTCTTGTCTACACAGAGTATTTTAAGTAGCTAAAAGGAGAGTAGCAACGGATTCCCAATGTGACCAGCTCCAGGACACCCACAAAAATCAAGTCAGTTATGTTCCATCAGGTTGCTCATTTCAAGATTTTGACAGAAGACCTCACAAGGACAAAGGAAACAAAATGGATTTCTCTCTCTTTAAATAAAAAAAAATCATTTAAACAGGTTGGTTAGCAACACCACATTTTGTATTGGTTTACTTATAATCTATTAACAGCCCCTGAGCACCAGCTGAC